AAAACTCGAAAAACAGTTAATTTAATAAATAATGATCTTACATAATAAATTATGTTTACATTCATTATTTTTACTTATAAAATTTGCAGATTTATTTTTCGAGTTTATTCGAATTATATAGTATTATAACTATATTAAAGTTTTAAATTAAATAAATGCATCTTATAAAAAAAAAACCTTAGAACTATTTTTTGCACAGTTTATATTATTAATACTATGATGTTTTAATACCTATAAATTAAAAATATTATGTATTTTTCTCGATTTTAATCCTAAACATGCGTCAATGACAAATAATGGTACTCATATACACAGCTATGCTTAAAATTTAGATATGATATTTTCGTGTTTACATTTCGTGATGACGTGTGTCAGTAGTTTTTTTCCTGCGTGGTTTTTCGTTTAGTTAATACGGGACGAAACGGTTGCCCACCCTGCAGTAAATATTCATTTGTCTCAGTATGTGTAAATTTTTCCCCATATCCGTCGTTTATATTTATTAAAAAAAAATTTAATTTCTAGTTTATTTCATTTTGATTTTTATTAAATGTAAACTGGTTGCGTTATTATTAATTTTTGTTATAGGATTATTGTTAATGGTATTCTCAAGTAAATCTAGTCCCACCGTGTGTATATAGTATATACTATGTGCCGGACGTGACATTTCATAAGCATTTTTTTCTTTTACTCGTTTCTATTCGTTATTACAATTATAGTCACGAATTAAGTCAGTACTTTGGAAAAAAGTTCTATAGAAAAGAAATATTCAAACATCGGACGTGACAGAAATGATTTCACCTTAAAACATTATAGTACAAATTATTAAAATTCGATGGAACCACGGATAAAAACAATATATTTTATTTTTTGACGTCTCAACTATAACGATTTCATTGTGAAATATAAAGACGTGTTTTATATTGTAATATGGATTTAAAAGAAGTCACGCCTAAGTTTATCTCTCCCACGTGGAACATATAGGTATAGCAAAAAATTGACGGAAATCTGTCATACTGATTAATCAGTTATTTTAAAACTAAAATACCAAATATTTATTAACTTAATGATCAAATATTTCTAAAATTATTACCTATGTATAATGCATGTAAATCTATGAGTTTTATAATATAATAATACCAAGAAAATTTTCTTTTTTTAAATTTGTATAAGCTATGTTATATATATATTATATACCTTATTTTATTTTATAATGAACACATATATATAATAGTAGGTATAGCTTTTAAAACCACTTTCAAATAATAATTTACCACGGATCTGAGATCTTTGCGAATTTCCATTTATTGTGCTTCACACGTTAGGCAATTTATGACTTATTCAAATATCTTGGTAGTAAATTACATTTCCTAAATTGATTTTTTTAGAATTCATTACTTATTAATATTATCATGTATTGTAATACGTTATAGTATATTAATCTAGTCATCATATTTTAATTCATTCAAATATTAAAATATAACTTACTTTATAATCGAAACTTCTTTAGAATTAAATTACAATTACAGCTTGCTCGTCTATGAGTAATACAAATTTAAAAACATACAAACATACAATTTTTTATCACTAAAAAAAGAGATTACGATGACTGAGAGCATATGAATGTGATTAAACAACTATTAAATTATACACTGCAGGTCGGGTTCATGCAACATTTCATTAGCTTGTCAAATGTTCGATTAATTGTCATTAATATATTATTATTTATTATTAATCGGAAGAATATATACTGCAATCTCCAGCAAAAATTAACTGAATGACTTGTTTTGAATTTTGTTATTTGTTCGTTTATTTGAGTGATGCTTATGAATATGTGACCCATTGACTGAAATTAAAATTCGTCGTCGATTCCACTGTATCTAACAATAGTAACATTTGTGTAAAGTATATCCGTAACAGATATTACACTCATGAGTATGCTCTTCGAATTTTTATAGAGTAAGACAAGAAAAGTTGCATTTTTTCCTTTAGGCACAACTAAGTGATGGTTTAAAGGTATAAGTCCTTAGCCATATATTGATAATAATAGGTATGAAAAATATTGTCTTTGATTATTAAAAACAAAGGTTAGAACGAGTATGTTGAAAGGCTGTTTTTTAAATTTGGATATTCTTTATATTGAATCAGATATTGTTAATTTATTAAAGAATGTGATATAACTAAAAGATCAAACATTTATGTTAAAATATATATTCAGTTATAAATATTTATTTAAAATGATATTTACTATGAGTCACTATCAAATATACAAATTCTGCAGAGAAGGGTATAAAGGAAATGTTCACATAAATTAAATAGTTGTATACAGAACAGAAAATCAATTAAGATGTTACTCATCGTTGAAAAAAATATAAATATCGTTTTTATTGCATTATATTTAAAGAACTATAATAATATGAAATGTAATTTTCCTTTCATAAATCATAAATTTAATAAAACCAAAATGGTCGCTCATCCGACTGCGTGCGTAATGTATATTATATGTTTGTGTGTAAAGTAGATACGTGACGGAAAGTCTGAAATACGATGACGTTCATTCTCCTAGTTATCTCGAGGGAGAGGATTGAGGTCCAAGGAACGCTTCCTGTTTCAAACGACCAACAAAGTATTTAGAACTTCCCTGTGTGGTGCTACGGCGCCTCTCAAGAGTTCGTTTTATTTGATTTTACATTATATATTCAACAAGCTAGCTAGTGTATTTACTAACTACGTATAGTCAAGCAACTGAAAAAATTCTTTCTTCTTATCGATAAACGTTGATCACTGATTTGCTAGCACAAATTTTAATGCGCGCGTAATATCTCGAGGTGAACGGTTATCACTGTCATTATCATCATCATCATCATCATCGTTTCATGTGTGTATATTTTTTCTTCGTTATTTTCTTTTCTCGGCATTCCGGTGTTACAAGTTGAACACACACACATCAATCGCCCAAAGACTCGAGAGTACATAATATTCTCACATGCGCGCGCACGCGGTTCATTCACTTGAACGCCGCCGCCGCTGCCGTCACTTACTACTCGCTGTGATCGTCTCCGTACATCGCCAACATCGCTGCTGCGTCCTCGACCCGTTATATTATTACACGTACGTGTGTGACATACACACGCGCGCGTGTGGCGCACTTTGCTGCGGCCCAGTTCACCGCCGACGATGAAGACCAGTGCCCCCTCCCCTTCCCCCAAAGGTGACGATGATAATAATAATATTATTATTATTATTCGAGAAACGACGACGACGACTGTACACACCAAATCTGTATGTCTGTCGTCCCTATGAAGTATAATAATTTAACCGTCGCGGCGTTTTGCCCCGTTTAGACGGGTTTTCGTTTTTTCCCTCCTCCCGGCGGCCAAAACGCTATGTATTAATGTAATATTGTTAATATAATACCGAACTATTATTTTTGTGCGTCGCAGACGCGCGACGGTTGGCGGCAGTGCACGTTTGAATGTGTATTTTCCGATTCATTCATATACATAATAATATAAATGTATATACACGCGTATTTGTGTCGTATAATGTATAATATAATATTATGTGTACGTCTTTCGATTCCCCCGAGGGGCTTCTCGGCACCACCGCCGCTGCTACCACCCTCCGACCCTGTGAAACGGCCGTTAAGCTCTTCCATAAAAAAAAAAAAAAAAAAAGGGAAAAAAACGTGTTGGTAGAAATACACGACGCGTATTGTGTACACTCGTATAATGTACGTATATATTATTATTATATATAAACGCGCGTGTTTGCGTCTGGAGAACGGTCGTCGGTGGTGGGCACGTTGAACCGGGGCAACGAGATTTTTATCCGTCGCATTCCGCGCATTCTCCGAATAGCTGTACACGTTTCGGTTCCATTCCGCTATATACGCTGAGCACACGATCGCGTGTACGCGCACTCACGCGCCCACAACCCGGGACCCGGTCGTCTGCTCTATAGACGTAGGCCGTGCGCAGCGCCACCGACACATAACGATATCGTTAAAACGTACATAACATAATATTATTATTTTATATTGTACAACGTGCTTTTTCAAAAAAAAATTCCGTTTCTATTTGTAGTAAACACGAATTATACACCCACATAACGACATAACGTATTGATTGTAGTGTACTTACTCCCGTTTGTGCCGAAACGATGATAAGGATTGAAAACGATTGACAAACACGGCGCACTATGCTATAGTATTATTATAATCGCGAGATATTGAATGAATCATTCGCGAGTGGTGGCGGTCCCTGAAACACAATTTAATGACCAATGCGATTAGTTCATTACATTTTAGTAAATCTTTTAATCGATCAGTATTGTTTATGCAACTGCCAACTCGGAGTATTGTACATGTTGCACATTATTGTGGTCGACGTATTGTTTACTGTTAAAAAGAAACGTGCATGATGACGAGAAGTGAAAAGTGCTACAAAAGTCAGAAAACGTTCTATGTCACTTTTCCATGCATTCTCTAATTCATACAGCAATTAATTATTTACTGCTTTGCAAAAATTTGTCTTGTATAAACCATATAAACTTGCTGTTTTGACATAAGATATACGATCTTTCCTTTAAAATGTTAAAGAATTGTATGAAATATTTATGTATTATACTACGTGCTTATATGGAGTGAGTAAGGATTGAAGAAAAATTTTTCAATCATCAAAATGTCCACTGTTTATGTACAACGTATCCCTACAACTCAAATTGCAACAGTAACGCCAAATATATTTTGTGTGGGCAACTTATTTCCCATTGTATAATTACAATAAGGGAGAAGTACGTGCTGTGTATACTTATAGTTGAGTCTTGAAAGTTCAAAAATAAACCGAGAAATATAGAATAAATCTATAGACTATATAACCACCATATTTCGTTTATAGTCATTATTCATTCTATATATTTTGCCCCACCAGTTAAAATGCACTTTGATGCAGCAAAAATTACGATTAATTATTTTAATTAAATGTTAATGTATATTGTTTCAGAAATTTGGCCATGGGAATTGGTATACAAAATTTTCCGGAAGGATTAGCTGTCAGTTTACCTCTGCAAGCAGCCGGATGTTCGAAATGGAAAAGTTTTTGGTAAGCGCTCTTTCTCTCGAATTACCAACCCTTGGTTTACCTTTGACTACCCTATGTTCCAATTCCTTGTATTACCTACCGAGGAGGTATGCCTATTATTACCTTATGTCTAATGTCTTATATTTTATACACGCACGTTTATAGTACGTGCTGTGTATAGTTTTTTCCTCGTCGCCGTCATGCTCGCCGACGCAAATCCTTCGCCTTCTGAAGAAATCAGCAGTCGAGTTTTATAGACCATTAAAAATACATCATAATAATTTAATGTATATATATATATATTATACATTATTTATTATAAAACCGTTATAATTCTTCTGTTCGAAAATTGCCACACTAATTACAAGGCGCGGTTCGTTCTCTACTAGGAAAATGAACACATTCTACAAGTAGCGTTTATGGAAATCCGGATTTCCGTCTGGTATATTGCTGCTACAAATACCACGACGATACCATAAATCAAATAGTTGATGTATGTGAAAAAAAACATTGATCCAATTTTCTCTTTTGACACTTTGTAGATCACATATACTAAATAATATTATACTCAATTTTTGTACATTTGATAATATGGTAGATAATACTGACTTTACAGCCAACATTTTGATACATTTTAATATAAATTAATGTTTCATTTGTTTGAGAAAATAAATTCATAATTTTGAAATAATTGTCTTGATATTCTATTCATAATTGTTTGTACAACAATATATCTACATATTTGCATTCATGATTATAAAAACATCCTTTGTTTACGCCAGTGCAAACACTCTCTATAAGGAGAAAAATACCTTCATTATTCGTTGCTTAATTTCGTCTATTTTAACGTTTAGCGATCATCATATTATATGCCTTAGCGTTGTTATTTTTTGAACACATTCGCGTTTATTAGTTTATGATAATATACTACTCGCAATAATTGAGAACACGAAAATATAATATTATATTAGTGTTAAAAGTTAATCGTACTTATACATGTTGTGATTAAGGCTTCTCAAAATTGACTTTACATTATTTTTCACAAATAACTAGATAATAACAGATTCTGTTTTCGTTCATAACAGTTATAATGTTTATTTCTGATTTATGTTCTCACAAATTCAGCATACTAGTTTATTAGTTATATAAAATTGGTAAGTAGTTAATTTTTTATTTTTATTACAAATTTTAAAACATGAAATAATATATTATTTATACATCTAATAATTGTAGTTATTTTGTCAATACAAACACACGCATTTAAAATTCTGTTAATATTATTAATAAATTAAACAATTTGCTAGTTTATTTTAAGTTGTTTTTCTGAATGTATTTTATAAATTCATGTCGAGAAAGTTTGTGTTTAATAAAATCGTTAAATTTGTTCTGAGGCCTATTTTTAAACACTGAGGTTTTACATACGAATCCCATATAAATTCAAATTACATTCACATGTACGGAACTATGTATGCTGTTTAAGAATTGCTCCTTTGGGCGAAAACAGAAAGGACAGTTATCTGATTTGACAAAAATGGATCCGTTTTTATCTGGTTTTGGGTATGACAAAAATGTCGATTTTCAAGTGAAAATAGATCTGTTCAACTGCGTTTCATTAAACATATCACGTACACACAGTGAAATTAGTTTTTATATAATATTTTTTTATGTGCCTATAAAAAAAAAAAAATGAGTAACATAAGGATAATATTATGTATAACTATTTTTTAAGAATATGAATGATTTTATTTAATCGTTTAATTTTTTTTTTTTTATTGAATGATAACATATCATTGATATAGTATGTACTAAAAAATGTAATAGTTTTTTTTTTTTACATAAGAATATAATTATAACCCTAAAAAATATTAATGATAATATACTACTATCAGTATACGTTTAGTCCAATTAAAAACCTTTAAAAGAAATACTATACGTATGTAATGTGTATATTATATAAATTGTGTTTTATCGAAAGATTTATGAATTAAAATTATATTTCTGTTGTACGAATAACGATGAACGAACACACAATACTATCAGTGTACTATAGTTTATATTATAGACAGTTTATTAGGTAACAGTTAAGGAAGTTCATTGCTCTGTTATAATATATATATAATATAACTATATAAGTATATAACAGTTTATTCGTGTGTATATGTAATATGTTATTGGATGATCTGAATTATGTGTCATTAATAATTTATTAGATCGGTAGATCGATATTGTATAATTACCAGATTACGTGAATAATTAATTACAGTCTAGTCTAGTCTTAATACCTAAGACAAATTTATTAAAATTATTATTATTAACTTTAAGCTACAACGAGGAATTCGTGGTGTCGTATATCGTATATGTAAGAATTAAAAAAAAATCAACAATACTTCCATGCGTCAAATACTTTCGTATTTATAAATTTCACAGTATCACGAAACGTTACACACGCGACACGTTGTTTCAGCGTTTTCTTTTCGGGTATTACTGTTCCCGTTTCTTTTCAAATATTTAACTGACAATTTAAAGTTTAAACCGAGTATACCGTATATGATTGCAGAGAAATAGTATTGTATGTAGTCTATGTACGTGAAGGCAAAGCCGTAGTTATATAAGCCGGGCTTGGTGAGACTAGCCCAGTTCAGAGGTGTAGCAAAAATAAGGAGTGTAAAAGCCAAATTAAAACATGCCTATGTTATTATTAATTTTAATAATGTATTATTTAATTTAAATCATAAATATAGGGCAATTTTATGTTAATCAAGATAGATTACTATTCGATGTTACACAATATAGGAATATCCGAATATATTTAGTATACAATTTACTGTGAATTTAGTATGCTTACGACATAAAATGTACATTATAAATAATATAACGCCTAGTGATATTAATAATTATGATTTGCATTATTATTATTTATTATTAAATATAAGATACATATTAAAGTTAAAAATAAGATTCAACTTCCCGTCAATATATTCATATTTATTGGTTGACAAATATACCTATTGATATTTCAATATCTAATCATTTTTATTATATGAATTCATGAAATGAAGTTCTAGAAAAAATTCTGCGGTGAGGTATTTGTTATTTTCACTGTACAAAATTAAATTAATTTACTTAAAATTATGTAAGGTGTAATTTAAGTTATAATAAAATAATTATACATGGAAATGAAAATATCTGCAAGTATTTAAAATGTCGCTGTTACCATTTGTTGATTTTTATCGATCAAATTAAAAATCAAATGATTTAAAAACATTAGTATGTTGGCATATTTGAAAAACAATAACTAAAAAAAATTTGATTTAACATTCAAACCATCAATTAATTACATATTATTTGAAAAGAAGTAAAATGTTAGTGTGTATGTGTGGAGGGGGTGGGGTTAAAATTGTAGAAGGGCGCAAATTCATTTGCATTAGCACATGTGTTAAATTTCCAAAAACACTGATGGACCTCGTAACTCCTTTACGCGTTAGCCTACTCCACACCCACGCGATTCGAGTGTAAAGTAAATTGTTCAACTCTCCAATCGCCTCGTGTTGATTTGTTATCTACGCGCGACGCGGCAAATTAACTTTACTTACTATTAACGCCCGAGGGTTGGTGTAAACGGTATTATAGAGTTAATTGACCTATTATTAAACTCGCGGGGTGTTTAATCATAATTTATAGCACACGGACCTTTGTATGAGCACGGACGTGGGTTTAAAGTGTTTATTTCGTAACGTACGAAAACAAAGGTTGTTTGCAGTCGCGCATGGTGTATGATAGAATACCGCAACCAGCTAACGTCCTGTACATCGCATTCGATACAACTCTTTTTTCGCAATGTCCAGGCCCGGACTGGGCCAATGTGTTACTGTTCTACAGCACAGTGAGCCGTATGCCTCAATTTTGTAATAAAATACTCGAGTTTTTTAAACAATTAATGAGCAAAAAAAGTCTTTTTTTTTTTGCACCGTATCTTTGGAGCTATGGGCCGGCTGCTTACTGAGAATTGTAAGCCGTTATCCTTCCAATCCGGGCATGGGGATGTCCCCGATATTATGTTTCATTGTTATTATAATATAATAATATTTCGATAGCATTATTTTGATTGTGCGACGTTTAATGTACGTTATTTAATCGATGTTTCACAGGTACGGACAACTTAGCGGCATGGTGGAACCGATCGCCGGACTCGTGGGCATATTCGCCGTTTCGTTGATCAAACCGCTGTTGCCTTACGCCCTGGCGTTTGCCGCGGGCGCGATGATTTACGTGGTCGTCAACGACATCATACCGGAGTCGAATTCCAGGTATGTATATTGGTGTGCACGGACGTCAAACCACGTCACTGCAGCGTCACGTGACGACAACGCTACGATAATAATAATAATAATATACGTGCTTACACACCCGATTGCCCGCCCACCGCTCTCCACCCACTCCACCGTCCGTCTCGTCGCGTATTATGTACACCCGACTGTCCCCTCGCGCACCAGACGACACCCCCGCGCGCGTTTTACTTGCGTCGTTATAATATTACAACGCACAATATTATTATTATTGTTGTTAATGTTGTCGATATAGGAGGTAGGTACTTTCGTTGTTATATATTATTTGATGTACCCACACCCACTCGCCCGCCCCGGTGTGGTGTGCAGGTATGTGTCGCGTGTGCAACGCTTCATATTATACCTTCCTATAATATAGGTACAACACTATTTTATTATATTATTATTATTATTATTATAATATTAAATACGTTATGCGCGCATAACGTGTGACCCTGACAGTGCCGCCGCAGTCGTGCACGTATATATAATATCAATGGTTTCTCGCTCTCTGGGGGTCATGTAACTGTAAAATCTCTGTATGCAATCTCCTTTGACGCCAGGAATGCAGCAATACAACTACGCTACACACACACACAAATTAGACGATTCCTTTGGTCGTTAGTGAGTGAGCGAACGAGCGAACGATCGCGCGGTGACGGCGGCGTCGACTATCGCGACCTCTATTGCCTACTATGGCGTTTAACGCGAGCCGACGTTCGTCATGAATGGGCTGCCGCCGCCGCCACCGCCGCCGCCATGCCGTCATTTTATTATTATCGATACTTCATCCGGCCGCCGCGGCCTTGTAACCAAAACGCGGAGGCTGTCATCGCCGCCACCGCCCGCATCTTATTTTTAATTGTACAAAACGACGAGACGATATGACGTTTTCGTCGCCAAAATCTATACACGATATCGTAACGATAAATTACGACTGCGCACGATCGGAAACGATTCTCGTTTAAATATATCAAGCCATGTACCCTTCTCGATGGTGTATTTATTTTTTATTTTTTTTTTGTATAAACACATTTTTTAATTTATTGGGAACAAAAATTCTACTTTAACATCACTCGATCGACTTGTCGTGTGCACACACTACAGTTACTGACGCACTACCATGAAATGTTAAACTGTGTGATAACGATACGTGTAATATTATGCTTGTCACCAAATATCCATATTTCTTACCCCTTTTTATCCTTACCAATACAATTATTCAAATAGTTAATATTATTTCATAAAACTGTTCGCATACATGTTTGGGTTTTAAAAACTTTAGTCCAATTATTCTAACACCCTTTATACTACTGCAACTGCTGCATTGTTTCATCTTATAGGGTAGAGACATACATTTTGATTTTTGATTTCTGAGCTTATAGATTTATGTACATGCGCCTTTGATCGTGAGACCATAGCATATAGAATCAAGTTCAGGAATTAGAACAATAGAATATTTTTATTTTTGACCCACAAAACATTTAATGTGTATTTGCCAAATCCCTTTGAGATTCTACTGTAGAGCTAGCTGTCAGAAACATATAATAACTTTAACAATCGCATCTAAACAGGCTGTGGAAGTCTCCATGAGCAGAGGGTTAATTATTGGCGAACGTATAGCATATTATATTATTCTATTCACACTTTGTTTTCTTGTTTGAAAATCCGGAGCAACAAAAACGATCATTGTCATTTGTCGGACACACGTTGCCATTTAATCGAATTGCTGTGTTTAATTTTGTTACAGTGGCAACGGGAAGCTGGCCAGTTGGTGTTGTATCGTGGGATTCGCCGTGATGATGTCATTGGACGTGGGACTCGGTTGACTTCATTAGGTATTACCCGTCATTTTTTCCTACACTGACCCATATTATTATTAATTTTTTTTTTTTTTTTTTGATTCACCTATCCTATATTTAATGCAATTTATTTATAGACTTTAATTTAGTTTTATTTGTTAAGCAATGCATGTTTAAAATATAGTTTATTTTTATTTATTTACACACTTTTTTTTTTTAACACTATTAAGTATAGGTATAATACACATATACATTATAAATGTGTTATATTTATAATTTTGGTATGTCTACAGTGGTATACACTATTACATACAAATATAAAATGATTATATTATATACAATAGTGTGAGATGATAAACGGTCCAGAGACATGATAAGACATCATTGTTAAACACGTGACCGCCACGCGCCGTTGGACGACAGACAGGATGGGCGTTTCGCCTATTTTTGTTAGTCTTTCAGTATGTCTCATACTCTTTAACCAAACACCCCTATATAGAAATAACTATATAATCCGTAGTTTTTATCTTCAATATCGATGTTTGTATTATAAAATCTAAAATCCACGCCATATTAATAGAATACAGGGCTTCTGGCTTCATTTTTTAAGTCATGAAAAAAGTTAAATTAGTATTATTCCTGTAATTTTTATGAAAGTTTTAAACGATTAACCAGTATTTATAGGCTTACACAATAAAAATATATATATTCTTTAAAATTTGTAATAGAACACAATTTGTTGAGATAAAAAATAAATATATTTTAATATATATACGGTAAAATTGAGCTTTTTAAAAGGGACATTTCAATTTGAACACTATAATTACCACTGAAATCGGCTATGAACAGTAGATATATTGGAAAACGGATCACCAGAAACTCTAACAAGAGATTACTGCTTATTATTTATTAATTCATGATCGTTCAGTAAAATGATATGTACCTTTTACAAGAGAAGTAAGATATTTTGTATAAATAATATTTCAAAAATATCTATACAATCAATTGGGAAAAAAGAAATAGATTAATAATAAGAAATATTTTTCTGGGGATTACATGGAGATTGTTAATACTGAAATAAATAGTGTGCTAAATAAATAGTTCCGCATTATTTTTTTTTTGTTTCGTATTAAAATAAAGCCATGAGCTATAAGAAGCTTTATTTCAAAATTACTCATATTGTTTCCAGTGTTTTTAGCAATTGAAAATAAATTGAATCAATCAAAATTGACAGATTTTTTTTGATTTTGATTAGTTTTATTGAAACTGATTCTTGTTCTAGTCTTTGTGAATAATATTCTACACGTTTTTAAAAAATATATAACTATCTGTTATCACATGTAGTATATAATATAATGTATATATTAATTATATTTAGGTTTGGCCGGTTTGGGCTATATATATTGTGTATAATAATAAATTCGTGCCTATAGTTTAAAACTAAGTTATTTGATTATCCTAAACACACTAGTCGAGGGCTCGTATTATATTGTCTTTCACTCCCTCATCAATCACTACAATAAATATTAAATATCATATCAAATTATTTTTTTAGTTTTATTTGTAGACGTAAATTAAATTGCTATTATTCTCCCGGATCATGTTTCACCTCTTTTTCTTCGTTTCCGTCAGTTTTTTTTTTTTTTTTTTGTTAAAACTAACGACGCAAATATTATGTTGTGTACGCGCGAGAATCGCTGTGTAATATGCATCTATCCCTGCCATGATATATCATGCAAGCAATTGTTTAATACATTATCACGGTTAGATTGTTTTAAACTTTTTACTTCATTGTTTCTATTTGTTGTAACTAAATTTTTCATATTTTTATTTTTATTTAAATAATTAGCATTCTTTTATTACTTGAAAAAATTATTCATATAACGTAAACCATTCACATTGCTATTTTGCTGTCTTAAAAAACATAAATGTGTATCTACTGTAACATCTACGCAAGATAACAATTTTGAATGAACCTCGTAATTTATAATATACGCTTACTGCTTAATTGTATTAAATATTACGTCTTATTCAAACTTCTATTTGTTCATACAAATCTACTATCAATTACACATATGTAAACACAATCATTCTTTTGATTTAAACGGATTTTAGAATTTAATAGGTTTAATATCAATTTCGTTTCTGGTGGAGTAGAAACACGTGTCTATAACGACGCGACGTTTGCGGTGCTCATAAGTTATAATAACATAAATCAACAATTCATTTATAATTATTATAATAACAATTTATACAACGAAACAATGGCAATTTTCTTATGGATTAGTGGAATTAGATTATGAATAGCCTAGCCAACGGCCGAGAATATTCTCAATATAAATATAGTAGTTCCGCGATTCCGGCGAACGCGCCAAAACCTAAATTTGAAACCAAACATAATACTGTTTTCTAGACTTAGAGCTCTAATGATTTTTTTTTATCTTGAATTTGTTCAGTCAGTGCTAAATAGCATCGTCTCCACTCTCCGTATATCACGCGCTGTTTGACAGACAGGAGGGACCTATGTGCGGTATAGAAAAGAGGGAAGGCTGGCGCGCGCGTAATTCTGCTAATAATAAGGCACACGGTCGTGGCGTATACACACGCACACATATCGTGTGTATCCGGTTGTGCCGAAGAAAAAGGAATATGGATGGGATGATGTGTATGTGTGTGTTATGTAGAACACAGGAAGGCGGCTCGGATCGGGTGAACGACCCCACGTTTCCGGTGACGACTTTGCCGCCGTAGCTCAAACCATACGTACACATATTATTGTGTTTATATATAATAATAATAATAATATATATATATATATATACAAAGTGGTGGCGACGGCGGCAACGGCAGCTGTTGTTTTAATCGTGGAAAAAATACTCGCCCCCCTCCCCTTCAGACAGACACACAGACAGTATACACAAACTGAAACCATCGCTGTAAGTTTTTTTCGTTCCCCGGTCACCCCTCCACTATTAAAACTGTTTTTCTCGCGTTCGTTTTTATTATTATTAAGTTAAGCGCCCGCCACAATTGTTTTGACAATTTATTATTATTTTTTGACCCACTGCGCGTTTAAGGCCCACACGCGAATTAAAAATTCGCGGGACGCTCATAGTACACTTATATCTATTATATTATTATCATGTACGCGCGTAGATATTATATTGTATTTTTATAAGCGTCAGTGTATATGTATACAGAACGACTGGCCTGTAGAGAAAGCCGGTCGAAAAGAAAAGGGTTATTATATTTTATTTTGAAAAAAACTCCGATCCGCCTAAACCTTTCTACTCATTCCAAGATGGCAATTGTTCGCTCCGACGTCGCCATCATATTGTGTTTACCCATACAACGGCACACCGTTGTCATGTGTGTGTAAATAAAACTATATTGTATACATACATATATATATATATATATATATGGATAAATGGATTCAAATTCGATTTATTTTCGCCTTACGGTGTAGGTACACTGCACGCGCATATCTATTAACACAATAATAATAGTCATATAATATGTGCATGAAATAAAATCGAACAAGATAAGCCTGGCACTTTATCAATGAAGTTAAATATTCGTATATTGTGTTACGTAAGGTGAACATTTTAATTTATTTTTTTTTCACCCGACGCATTAAATTTAACAATTGAGCCAAAATAAATTAGCATTTAATAGCCACACATGAATCAGATACCCGTGTGTACAGTTACGGTATTACACAGTATTATTTTTTTACACACTTCATTTCTGAAACGATGACGCTATGAACAACACAGGATTCAAGCGCGCGCGTGTATTACCTACACACGTGTATGCATCGAAAATAATTACAAATCTAATCGCGTTTATCACGTTTTAATTGTTTTAAACTTGAGAGCTTTTTGTGAATGTTTATGATGCCGAACCCAATACCGGTATATCTGTAGGTACCAACTATACCAAGGACAAAAGAAGGACGAAATTACCATTTTTTATTATTTGTAAAAATGTATATAGGCATATCATATTTGACATAAATCAAAGAAAACAAGAACAGTCCACTTGTAACAGAATCGGATTATTTAATTAGATTTTTTTTTACGTTATTATTAAATCTAGTTTTTGAATTATTGACTTGGTCCATTATTTTTATGAAAACAGCATACCTACTCAAAAACACGTTTTTAGTTGAGAATTCAGAACGTTTTCACACATGTTTTTAATTACTTTTTTTTTTAAATAAATATTTTAATACTCCGTGGTGATCATTTAATCATCTATATATAAAAGGTCATATTATGTGCACAAAATTATTCTCTCATGGTTTCACGTCCGTTGGGTTATAAAGAGATATTGTGGTAGATCGGGTAACAAAAAGTTTTTTTTTTTAATATAGTAATTTATGTTACTTTAGTATCATTCAATGCGATTAAAACGAGTTTTAGTCGAGAGATTAAATCCGCTGTGGTGATGGTTTGCAGACATATAGACGACGTCGTCCACATACTTTTAAATACTGAAATGTATATTCATATATTTAATTATCGTCATATTTAAATAATAATAATTGATACTACAGTTTTACAATTTTTGAAATACGAAGACAATATATTTTATGTGACTGGATTAATAAAAATATTCTTGATGAATACATTTTTACATAATGTGATAATCTCATTCAAAATTATATTATTGTACTTGCTAATATTGTTTGTTAGTATTGAAAAAAAAATTATGAACACCAAAATGTTTATATTAATGCACGTAATTTTTATAAAATATCAATGCACTAAAATTATTTTAAAATAAAAAAAAAATTTTAACTAAACTAAAGTACCGACGTGTTTATTTAATGATCAAAATTTAATGTATTTGTGTTATTAATACATTTCTTTACTATATTTTCTTTCTGCGTTGTTATCCAAGTTCAAACATCATAATGTTACAATATTGTGAAAGAATTACGTGTATTTGTGAGTTGTTTATACTGTCTGTGAACTATAATAGACGACTTCCGGTAGACTTGCTTTTTTTAAACAATTTGGGAAAGAAAT